TGCTTCCGCTCTCCTACTTCCGTGATTAACATCCGGACAGTACTAACTTAACAGCCGGGAACAACCATTACAGACCAATATCCTACATCACCCCCTCTAGTTTTTTTTTACTATTTCCTCCGAGAGGTACAAAAACAAAACAAAACTAAAATTTTCCCTCTTAAGACCAATAAGTCCTCGGTCACCTTCTCAAATAATGTAATGTCCATGACATCAAAAGGAAATGTGCATCTGCACTTGAGAAATTAGAGTTCAATCTGTAGCACTCATATTTGAACTTAATACTGTTCACTGGCACAATATCTTGCAGAACACAATGAATGAACACATTCACACTTTTAGCGTTCAATACACGCTTTCATTATTACAAGTCACTGAATCAGGCTGGTCTTCTCCGATCTCTGGGAGGGTTGCGACGGGGTTCTTCAACAGCAGCTGGTGTCGCAGCTGGCTTCCCACATGGTGCAGTCAAACTCTTCCCCTGAACAACTATTAGAGGTGGTGCTAGGTTGCTCTCTGCCTGCTTTGGCTGGTTGCTAGATAACATGCTCTCTGACCTTCCTCGTTGGAAAATATCTTGGTCCGGAATGTGCGGAATGAATGGATCAAGAGGCAGTCTACATCCTGTAGTTATGTCTCTTGACCTGATTTGATCTACATGTCTTTTCCACACTTGACATCCTACAGAAACCTGATAGTTTCTGTCCCCTAGTCTTTCAACTATATTGCCAATTAGCCATCTAGCACCGTAAACACCATAGTTACGGACAAATACAGCTTGTCCTACTTCAAAGTATCTGGGTGCATTGTCTTGAGGGTCTTCCTTCACAGACATATCATTCTCCATTGCTGGCCTGAGTGCGGAGAGTCGAGTTCTCAAGGTACATTTCATGAGTAACTCTGCAGGTGTTTTTCCTGTTGAGAGTGAGGAGTGATGCGATAAGAGAATAAAAACCTCAGTAATTTATCTTCAATGTCACCATCCTGATTCTTCATTTTCTTCATGGCTTGTTTGAAAGATGCTACTGCTCTTTCTGCCTGTCCGTTAGTAGCCGGATGGCAGATGCAGTTGTGGTGTGTCGTATTTTGTTGCGACGCAAGAATGTTTGGAACTCCTGGCATGTGAATTGGGTTCCGTTGTCAGTAACAATATGGAGTGGCAGTCCAAATGTAGCAAACAATCGGCGAAGATGCTTGATCGTGATCGTAGCAGTGGTAGACCTCATCTGATATATTTCCAACCATTTGAAGTGAGCGTCCACAATTAAGAGAAATGAGTGTCCAATGAAAGGACCTGCAAAGTCAATGTGCAGTCTAGTCCAAGGAGATGATGGCCACTTCCAAGGGGTAGGCACGACTGATACTGGATGATTGGAGGGTGATATGGACAAAAGGATTGTCCACACAAATGTATTGTTAGTTCATGGTTTATTCATTGTACTGATTTATTGTACTGTTAACCAGACAGGTTATTTGGCTTCAGTTTGTGTACAAGTGAACGGTTCACAGAAACACAGCTGACATGAAATTATAGTTAATCCGTTTCGATACGTTAATAAGGCAGGACACCTTGACATTGTCAGTTAGTGGGTGTTAGATTGTTTGACAGAAGTTTAGTGAAATAGAAAGATAGGAATGTAAGATATTGTAAATGTAATAAGAGGTAAATTAAAACAATTATTTGATTCTGATTTAGTGGTTTGGTTTTTATATCACAACTGGTACAGTTCCTGCTGACCATTTACAAACATTAATATATTGGCTGGCCAGGCAGAGTACATGACGCCCATGTCTTTGTGAACTCAGACATATATTTCCTTAGTGATGATGGTTCTCTTGTACCCAACTAGTCGAAGAACATCGGAAATACACAAATGCTCTTGGTGTTCCTTGGTGATGCAGCATACCCATAAAAGTCATGGTTATTGAAGCCCTACACTGGCAGCGCTAACTTCACTCCAGCTCAGAGTACCTTCAACTATCGACTCAGCCAAGCCGGGGTGATGACTGAGATTGATTGCTTGAAGGGACTTTGGCAGTGTTTGCAGAAGAGGATGGACTTTGAGGTCAAATTTGCCTGCACGGTAATTGCATGCTGTGTTGTCTTCCACAACATTTTCAAGAGAGTGTCCGCTATCTCTACAGGGAGGTTTGGGATGCCGAAGAAGATGAAGAAGAAAATGACCACCAACTGGATGTACAGGATAGGGGCGACAAAGGGATCCGATGATGAAATCGCACTGGCTTTCTGCAATGATGACACTATTCATTTATGAAGACATTTAATTTGAATAAACTATATATAGTTCATACTGGTGATTTTTGTAAACATTTACACTTGTTTCAAAATTCAAGTTAAAGTATTTTGTGAAGATAAAAGCAATTAAATCTTTGAAGGGCATTTAGAAGTGGAATACATAAGAAAAGCAAGATTTATGGGTGTCAGCTTCTTTATTGTGAATAACACGACGTTTCTGAGTGTATGCTTGCTCCTTTATCACCACCAGCTTTTCTTATAAAAAGTAATTATTTCTTTTATGTTACCACACCAATACAATATCGCAGCACACTGACCATAACCTGAGAGAACAATTTGACAAGACATCTTGCATTAGCTATAATATACACTTTCGATAGCCTCTAAACCAGGATCATGATTTTCGAAACGTTAAGATACCTTAACATTTGACATGAGTGAATAATAAGTCATGGCTTCAACAGCATCATCCATAAAGCTACAAGGATGATTTACGAGAGCTTTCAGTATCTATTCAAAGCTGCTAACAGGAGGTGAAAACCATGCTTTTTCTTATTTTCAGAAAAAGTTAAATGTGCACTAAATCTAAGAATCCTTTATTCATAAGAGAACATGATTGCTCAACTGAACATGATGAGTACAACAGCACTAAGAATATGGCTGGACAAACACCTAACTTCCACAACAGAAACGTCAATGATATTAGGAAAACTAAACACTTTAGTAAAACGTCTTGTCTCAAGACACAAAGTGGACCTAACTAGAATTAAGAAATAGAAACAAAACGCCAATGAATCTTCATGGTGGTTAATGAGAACACAGAATTGAGTAATAGTTAAAATAATTGTGAATTTAATCATTTATAGTCTTATGCCATTCATGAAGTCTACAAATTGTAGAAACTTATTCCATCCTCAGTATCAGTTACCCTAAAATCTTCAGTTGAAGATTGTTGGTTGACTGCCGAGGAATAGCTTGATGAAGGGCCTCTGACCATTACACCTCCGTCATACTGTCTTCCATCTTGCCTTTCTCGACATCAAGTTTTTTGCGTTCAAGTTCTATTTTCTGGCGTTCAAGGTCAAGAACCTTATCATCAGCTCTCTCGTTTGCTGCACTAAATACATCCATCAAAGATTTCAGTGCTACTTCCATCCTTGTCTTCTGAGCTCTTTTCTTCTCTTCATTTTTTCATTTTCCCCTCCAGTGGATTCCTTTCTTTTATTCTTTCTGCTTTCCATGTTAGATGCATCCTTTTCATCCCTTTCAGTTTCATTATTAACAAGAGGTGTAATGTCAGCATAACTGTCATTAATAGCCTGTATGTTTGCCTGTGCTGTATTGTCATTAAGTTCTCAAGGATCTGGTTTCTTCATCTTCAGCTTTCTGTAAATTTCATACGACCACATTTGCCAGGGGTAGCAAAAAATAAGCATTTACTCACCGATAGTAAAACATTTGCATCTGGCCCAGGCCAGGACTATTTTTGCTTGGGTAGTAAAATTTGCATATGTGTAATTGCATTTATACAACCAAATATATTCACATAAGCAAATTTACACATATACAAACAATTACACACGTGTGCAAATGTCGCCATATAAACAAGGCGTATAGTTACAAAAATCATAGTTATTGACATAGTAGGTTTACCATAATATAATGTTCAGCAGCAAGAAGGATTTTCAAATGTTGTCACAAAAAAAATAATGTAGGTTTCTTTGTCTTATCAATTAACATTTAGTCACTGTTGTTTGTGGTTGTATTCCTTACTTGTGTTTGGGGTACTCTAGGAATACGGGACCTTATGTGGGATTCGGCATTCAAGTGTTATAGGTACATATTCGTTGGTTTTACACCTTTAAATATCAACAATTATAATAATTCTACCTCTAACACTTGAGGTTAAGTCCCACCCATCCATCCTCTAGGAATTCCAGAGTATTTTTATAAGGGATCCTAGAAAAAACTATATGGTTTCCTGTGCTGCTGCTAGGGAAGATAACTCATGTGGATAGCCTTTTGGTAGACTGCAACAGAGAAAGAAAACACAAATCCTTGGACTTAAAATTCTCAGGCAATCAGTGTTTAGATGTAATATTGTAAGGAGTTCTTCACTGTTGATTCTGTTGACATTTGTTGATTTGCCAACACCAAACAAATTGGCAACAGATCAGTGTTCTGTAGTTGACACTGTTCAGTTTACAGCATTACCAACATTTATGTGGACATTCAACAGACAATATTTCTTTCATTTTCAAGGGGTTAAAAGTTTGAAATGAAGCATGTCTTCTGGAACTTTGATTTTGAAAACATTTTAATGTTTAAAGTCTTGATCAGACTGCTGAAATATATGTGCCTTACACCATTTACATACCCTATTTACACATCTTTGTTGAAGGTCTTTTGCTGAAAATTCTGAAGATTAGTTTTATATGATTGCAACCATAATATAGGATTTATGGCAATGGTATTCTTAGAATTATTCACAGTGATAACTATGAATCCTTTTATATCTGAAAACATCTCCTCTGGGAATATTTTGCTGCTTTTGTTGGGCATCATTTTAGGTGCAAATCTGATAAATTAAGTGTTAGTTTTAAGTCCTCGGTTTACTGGAACAATGTGAATGTGTCTGTGTTTGTTAATATTTTAAGGTGCTGTTGAGCTGGTGAGCTACAGTCCCTTTGCACTGTTTTTATCAATTTGAACAGTTTTGCAGAAAAGTTTTTGTGTATTGCAGTTTCTGGAAAGCGTGGCAGTGCTGAGGCTGAATCTATCAATATTTCAACACCCCGTGGCAGTCTTGCACAGGTTGAAGGCTCTCCTCCTCAAGCTAAAGCAGGCACTGTTGTCACATCTTCACGTGCATCCAAGAGAAGGTTATGATTACATTTTAATAAGATTGAATAAAAGAACACTCAAAACTTTCAGTTTGATACAGTAAACAGTGTTTTAAAAAAATATGACAGATATGATTTATGTGTAGAGTTTCTGTTGTATTGATTTGTAGATTGCATTGGTCTCATTTTGTAAACATTTCTGAAAAGATTGTCACTGTGATATACTTCTTCATTTATGGTTACTAAGATCAGAGTAGCTGAAGGTCAGGCTTGATCAGTGTTTTCCATGTCATTGGTCAAGTGGCAGCCAGTCAACTATTTTTCTTGACACCCTATGACATGTGTTCATGTGAAGATAGCATCCCATGGTGAGAATACAAGGAGCATTTAGTGTGCAGGACATCTCTCTCTCCCCAAAACAACATAATCTCAATTGATATTTCTCTCCACCCCCAATGGATATGAAAAAGAACTAAAACTCTATACAACACTTTCCATCAAAATTTTGGACAGGTATTAATCATGGTCTGAATGGATTTCTTTTGCTATTTTGGAATTTATAATTTGTAAATTGTTTTGTTTGTATGGTTTCCATGGCTACAAGTTTGACTTTGACTCTGTTCATAGTGTTGTTTTTGTCCGGACCATATCTCTGAAAAAATAATAGATGTTATTTCATGAAACCGGGCGGTGGGTTCACCAGGTGGTTAAAGCATTTGCTCATCATGCCGAAGACCGGGGTTTGATTCCCCACATGGGTACAATTTGTGAAGCCCATTTCTGGTGTCCCCCACCATGATATTGCTAAAAGCAGTGTAATACTACACTCACTTACTCACTCGTTCTTTCATGTAACTGTATACACAAAGACCAGGTTGTCAACTAGTGGCTTTTGCTATTTAGGGTGTTTAGATTTCATGGTTTTCAGTCTCCATGGCAACAAGTTTGATTTTGAGTCCATTCATAGTGGTGTGTTTGGATTTTTAGGAATTTTTTGTGTTTCCATGGCTACATGTTTAACTTTGTCTCATGTTGATGTGTACTTAACATAGAAATACAGAGCTTTGAATCCTAATTCCTCCACATAGCAGCACCTGTGGCCAGTAAAGGGCTAAACCCTTTGATTTTGCTTTGGTTATGAGTAGTATAGGGAATAGTGGTTCTATTACAGGTCCCCTATAAGCGTTATTTTGTCAAACTCCGCCCCCTTGCAGAGTGAAAAATTAGCAAGAATGATGGTGGGTCTCACTATGCGGAATTGTTTGTGGACGGGGAACGAAAATTAGCTGGATAACGAGAGACATGGGGAGGTCCGACACCGGATTTAGAGTCCACGTAGAACCAGCTCAAACTTTCAAGAAAGACGGAAAGACCATAACTTGGCATCCGACCACTTTAACGGTTTTACCGAACACCATGAAACCATTGGATTATTTTATGGATTTACCTTGATATCTATTGAACAGTTCAGCGTCAATCTCCAATGATCTCTTTGGTTTTGGAAAGGAACGCTTGCCTGACCTGTTCTCTGCCCTGTTCTATGAGCTTTTTTTCTTGTCTTCGTGGATGACCCTCGTCTTGCAGACCTTGGTTCGAATCTCTTGTTTCTTTCTGTGGTACTTCACGAGTTCTGCTAAGACCAGACGGAACTCTTCCTCAGTGATCTTGCTGTCAACAAGTGCTGTTGATACGTGATCATCGATCGTGTTCAACTTGGCTTCGGCTAGAACACTGATCTCGTCGTGCTTCAGCGCATTGCATTGCAGCCAACGTGAAATGAATTTGAGAGCTATTCCCGCCAGCCCCGACGCCCTGGCTGCTATTTCTAACCAGAAGACGACGGGTGCGGCCATGATAGCCGACAATAGACCGGTGCCAGCCTCACTGAGTCCCATGTAGGCCGTTACAAGCGCTGAATCCACGTTGGCGACAGCATTCACGGCTCTGTGGTACTTTTTGTGCTATGTACTTCACGCATCTCGTTCTCGTTTGTATATTTATATAAGTTATGAAATAATATTAAATTGGTTTTCCATCAATTTCTCGTGCATATACCTTATGCTTATTAGGCCCATATGTTTGTGTAAATAAAAAGTACTTAGTGAAAGGAGAGACGATTAATCTTGAAAAAACATGATCCCCTCGAGTCTTGTGAAGGTGGGTGTTCCTAGTCGTACATAAATAGGACAACGTTGATATATATTGTTATCACTCCAACATATTTTTAACCCATCCAGAATTCTAACATTTTCTGCAGGGGCGAGAAAAAGAAGACTTCAATGATAAGTGTAGAACCTTGTTTAACATTTACCCACGTATTTAGGACTTGATACTGTTTTGTTAAACTGAGTTTAGCTGTGTTTTCAAGATGGGTGACTAACATATTTCTTATTTCACCTCGAAATGTTGTATTTACATATGCCAACTTTTCTGCAGTTATTACTAAATTACTGGGTAGAAGCCCACTGTTTTTTATTTCGGTGACAAACCCCTCATCATCCATGACGACATAGGGGTGGTTGAGGGTAATATTGATGATCCAGTTCAATTCAGGTATCACTTCTCGTTGTTTGTAAACATGATTTTGTAAGCAAAATGCGTACAAGGCATTTTCCGTACTGGTTCATTGAATCCGCATGTGTCCCCTAGATCGGAGAGTGCTACTGTGGTGCATTTCGCAAAGCAATGTTTGTCCGAGATGTCACCCATCATTATGCATATTAATTACAAAATAGTTTTCAATTGGTTTTTGAAAGTGTTTCATGTGTGAACTTTAAGCTCACGAGATGTATATTCATGGGTAAGAAAATTTTGTTCATCGAAATTTTATTCTGCAAGGTGACATTGACACCCTTGAGACTCGCGTAAGCCATCGTGTTTCTCTGTATGTAAATTGTGCAAGCGTGATGTTAATGTTTTGGAGTTTTGACTCAATCACGATTTCGACATCGTGACTGGATTCTGGCTCTCCGAGAAATACTTTGATGCATAGCGTCGTGGTCATAGGAATCCCCATTAATATGACTGCCACTTCGTTGAATTTGGTCACTCATACCGTCGTTCGATAGCATGTGGTCTGCTTTTCTTGGGACGACGCTCACGAGCACGCTCCGTCTTTGCGACGGGACGTAAGCTCCCAGCACGATCCCGTTATTGACGAGTTTTGTTAAATAATGATCCCACCAAGGGAGAAACGACTTTGATATCGAGCAGCAAGTCGATTTTAGGTGAGATCATCGTCCATTTGTTGTCGTCGGTGTAGACGAGATTGTAGGCGGTGTTTTCGGAGGTACCCCGTGTCTCGATATCGTTTAAATCACCTAGACCACCATCGAATTCCGCGACCATCACCCATTTGTCGTTGTTGTTACGAGCGAGACATCATCCAAATCTCCTAGGTTTCTGATGCTTCCGCCGCCACCGCTGGGCACTTCGATGCATTTGTACACATTGTTTTTCAGTTGCAAGGCGTACAGCTTGCCTTCGGCTCCGGGTTTGTCCCCGAGGTCCGAAATCGCTAGGGTGGCGCATTTTCCGACATGATGCGCAGTTTCGGGACCCGAAGCTTGCATCATTGTTTTATGTGCAGCATCTTGCTGAGATATCCTATGTGTATTGGTTCGTGATTTATATCTAAAACGGATATTTTTAATTCCGTGATCATGCCTCGGGTTAATTTCTTGTACTGCAGGGACGGAAACGACTTGTTTCTTCCGTCGTTGTAGTTTTCCTTTTTGACCGACACAGATCTCAGCCATTCGCCTTGAATATTATCGGTCGTGCTTATCTGATCGAGATGAACGCATAGCTCACAATAGGGAACTAGGTCGGGCAGTTTCGTGCCTGTCACGGTCTCTTGCTGCGCTGTGTCGTTCGACGTCAGCCAAAGCATTCTGGCCAGAGGTAGGCCGAGTCTCAAGCTGCTTTTCCTGTTGTTCGATAGCACGACCGTGCCGTTGAAATCGTTCAGTTTGAGTTCTGCTCCCAGCGGTTTGAAGATTTAGTCGTTGAGCAAGCACACATTTGATAATGGTTGATATTCAAAACTCATATATAATCATTCATACCACCTTGACCTAATATGGCATATGAGTAATCACAATGTACCATTCCTTAATCATAATGATTACTCGTAAAATAAATTACTTTAGTAACCGTCGGTCAGCTTGTATCGCTGTTTGTTGACGAAGAGTTTGTTGTTGGTGCCATTGATGTTAGTCCATCCCGAGCAATACGTGATATCGCACATATTATCAATCGCGTGCAGCAGTTGAACTGATTCGCCGCTTCGTATTCCCGGCAGCGTCATGTACATAATTGAATATAATTATATATTTGTATACAATTATTATTAAAATTCAATATAAGAGTTGTGCTAAACGAATATGGAAATCAAGGTGGAAGTTATCAATATTTTCGAAAACTACCGTCAGTAATAATAAGGTGGTGGTAAACTGGAATCAAAACCCAATGCAGTTTTGGCAAAACCAACTCAATTTCGCCATGTGGTGCGTGACGATGGCATCGGGTGTGACACTCGACTATGGAATGGACAAACTTAGTAAGGCAGTCAACTTGCTTCATGTTTATTATCAGAAGGTACGAATTTTGAAGGAAATAGGTGCACCTCTTCCGCAAGATGCGGTGTGGAGTATGATCGATAATCTGTACGATCGGCCGCCTGTACAAACGTATTTGCGGGGAATTCATGATTCCCACGAATAAAGACTTTTGCCTTCCCAGTGTGAACACGGTCTCGGTAAACTCTACACTTATTTCTATAAATCCCGAACATTTAAAATCGCTTATACGGGTGGTAGGTATGTGCCCGTATACCATCTGTTTATGGGCCCTATGACGAATGATAAAATTTATGTTTCGTACATCAAACAAACCGATCCCGGAGCGGCCACCGCCTGGATGAAAGGGTTTTCTTGCGCGGGTACCATATGGTTGAACGATTCCATTCGAACGTATGTGTGGGCTGTTTTAGGGGCACAGGCTCAAATGCTTTTTGGTATCATTGGTAAGGGAATGGC